AATAATAATAATAATAATAATAATAATAATAAAAAAACCAAAAAAAAAAAAACACGTAAGGTTTTTTGCAACTATTACTTTTAGATGTCAACTTGATGAGATTAATAAATACTTAGAAAACTGAAAAAAAAAAAAAAAAAAGAAAAGGCTTCTTACTTACTCTGGACTGGACCCACTTTTCAGTCAGGGGAGAAGCAAACTTGTCTAGATTATAGTGTCAGCTTTGGGACGTGTAGTTCAGTGGTACATTAGCAGGTGTAAGGCCCTGGGTTTGCTGTCCAGCACATGCACAAAAACCAGAATGGTTTGCATTGGAAAAGTGACCAGGTCCGTAATTAGCAGCTCCTCCTTATCTGCCCTGTGGGAGCCTATGTGGAGTTTCCTTTCCGGGGACCCACTGTTTTCCCGAGTGTAGGGAAATCTCAAGAACTGCAGGAGTCATGGTCAGGACCTTGAATACCGCAGAGCCTCGCTCTATGGCACCGCTTGCAGCTGCAGACTTCCTGCCTTCTCTGCCTCTTCCCTAGTTCTTGGGGCAGATTGTGCAGCCTGCATGTGTGCTGTGGGGAAGCGCTGCAGCGCTGGCCGTGTGGGGCATCCAGAGGATTCCAGCTCCTGGTGTCTGGGTTGTTGCCGCACCTCCTGCGAGCTCTGCATTTGTTACTGGTGTGGGGCCGCCTCAGCGAGGCTTGTGGCTTTGCCTCCTTTTTTTCTTTTCATGTCTCAAAAGACTTCAATTTTATTGCAGTACAAATTTACACCCTAGGTTGAAAGACATAGTCACTAAGTGTTTCTGATTGCCTAATTTGTTTTCAAGAGGCACAAATCTATCTAAAAGCAACTTAATGGTGGTACTTATTTTAGCAGTGTGAAGGAGTCTACGGTTGCTATGTTGTTAGTGTTCTTTCTCCCTCCCCCTGGAGCTGTGTAGTATGAAGCCGACATCATGCAGGGCCTCTTTGATGCTCTCAAGTCAGCGTGGGGCCGGAGTGGACTCTATTTTCTTTTCTTTTTCCTGACTGTAAAAGGCACTGGTTCATTACCAAAAGTAAAATAATGAGAAATGTGAAGAAGAAAACCAAAACGACTTCATGATTTCACCAGCTAGGAATCCTTTGAGTTATATATAGGGCGTTTCTGTTCTGACGTTTTTCTAATATAAATACCTTTTATTTATAGTATTGGGATAGCTTCTATACAACTTTGTTATTTCCATAAGCTTACTAAATGCAAGCTATTTGATGTCATGAAAAGGTTCACATTTTGCGTGAAGTACCCATGGCTTTAATAGGCTGTGATCTGCTGTCTTGTGTTGCAGTGGGAAGAAGAGAGGAACTTGGGGGCGTCCCTGTTGCTTCCAGGCCTAAAACAGAAGAACACAGTGGGCTTGAGCTCCCAGCTCTACGGCTGTGCGCTTCTCGGTAAGCTAAGTGAGCCGTGTTAATGCTGCTGTTTGTGGAGAGATGTGGCATGGCTTTTTGTCTCATCATAAAATTAAAACTCCATTTAAATTTACTGATGGAGTTATAACCCACTGTATAGACAACAAAATGGCCCTCCGTGGCCTTACAGTTATGAACAGTCAAGAGATGTCATAAGACCTGTCACCAGTGACAGGGTCAGAACTGATTGTGTCAGCTGTAGTGAAACTCATTTATGGTCTGTGGAGGAAGAGGGAAGCATAAAGAACGTTCTGGCACTCTGTCCAAAGAACTAGCCAGTCTTTCACAGTGTCCAGCTATAGTCCCGGAGGTCAGAAAGAGTCAAGTTCAGCTTGGGCTTTGACTTCGTTTCAGGTGAGGGAGGAGAGCTTCAGAGAGCTCACTCTGGGAGAGTCCCTGTTGGGCTTTGACTTTGTTTCAGGTGAGGGAGGAGAGCTTCAGAGAGCTCACTCTGGGGGAGTCCCTGTTGGCCCCGTGTGAGTGTACAGACCAGGTGCAGCGGTGGCTTTGGTGCCACTGCTTTGGAAGTGGGGCACGTGCAGAGGACAGCCTCGGGTGTGTGGGGTCTGGGCAGACCATCAAGCCTGACTGCATCCAGTGCACCCCAGTCACAGGGATTCATCAGATCCCCACCCCACCCCGTTCTCTCAGAAGGCAGGCCTCCGCCGAGAGGGCCTTTTCTTTGCTCTTTGCGTCTGCCTGTCTTTCTGAGGTGTAGCTCTCTGCTGTCAAAGCTTTGCCAACAAAATAGAGTGTGGGTTCTTGGATGCTGGTTCCAGTATAAGCTACTGAGAGCCCTGTCTCTCAATTTGTCAGACCGGCCAGCAAACTAAGCCCAGAGTGTTCACTCTTTTTGTTGTTGAGTTTGATTTGAAGGTTTTGTTGCTGTTTTATTTGGAGAGTTAGTTTGTTGTTTGGTTGAGACGTGAATCCCCAGCAGACCTTGAATTCACTGTGTAGTCACACAGGAATACTGTGAACTTCTGATCCTCCAGCCTCTACCTCTTAAGTGCTAGAATTACAGGCATGCCTGATTTATGTGATGCTGTGAACTGAACCCAAGATCTTAGGTGAGCCCTTTACCAGCGAGCTATGTATCCTCAGCCTTGGTTTTGGGCCTTCAGAGATAAGTTCTTGCCATAGCCCAGGCTAATGTCAAACGTGAGTCTTCCTGTGTCCTCTCCCTAGGCGCTGTGACTGCAGGTGTATGACACCATATCCAGCCTGCAGCTCTTGTTTGAAATTGCATTTTGCTGATTTGCTTCCTATTTAGCTATTGATTTGCATTTTTCCCTTTTGTGTTCAGATTAATGTTCAGGACTGCTATACTGCATGGCTCATTCAGAAAGTTGGCAAGGCTAAGAAAATGTACTTGGCTGTTGTTTATGGGTAGAGGCCCTGGTCCCATGTGATAGGCAGCCTTGCCATCAGACACCCTGCCCCCATCTCTGCTCTGCTTGTGTCTGCTCTGCCCCCTCGCTGGACTCAGGCCAGCAACCCAGAATGATCCCCGTCCAGCCCAAGCACCTTAGAGATCTAAAATTAGCCGTCACTGAGGAGCTTTGTCTGCTGGTATCCTCCTGTGGCTTCCCAAATCCTCCTTCCAGGAAAGATGGCTGGAGGCAGACTTAAGACCCAGCTGCTCAAGGTGACTTTGCTCGCCAGTGCTTAGAGGGCTCTGGTCCCTGGTGCTGAGGCCCCTGGACTTCCCAGGATCCTCCTACCCCACCACAGCCTGTGTGACGGTTTGGGGGACCCAGGGGAAATTCAGGCCCCGTGAGCCAGAAGGTTGCTAGGACTCTGATGTAAGAACTGATAATACTCAAAGAAAAGAAGATTTAGGGTCGTTTGTTTGTTTTCTCCTTTCTCTTTTCATAAAGACAATAGATTGCCCGTTTGGCTTTTTTCAAAACCCATCACACATTTCCTGGCAGAGGAACATTGTCAGATGTTCACAGGATTTTCACAGTAGGAAAGTTGTGAAGTTTTTTTTTTTTCCTTGGGAAGGTTTTGGCCTTGAAACAAAAATAGTGTTTCCGTCGTCTTATGTCTTCAGGGCAACCTTCTGTAGAAAAAACTCTGTCAGTTTCTCACAGTTCCTCAGCCCAGTGATTCATGGGCTCTAGTGGGTCTCCAGACAGATGAAACACGTAAAACCAATTCACAAAGCTTGCGTTTAAAATGTCAGGCTGCGGTCCCTCACCTAGGCTGGTGTTTGCTGGTGCCTTCCCCAGCCTTGGGCTGCAGACATGCTCGGGAGACCCAGCTGAGGAGTCTTTGTGGTTCTTTTGGCCACAGGAAAGGTGGAGCTGCAGCGAGGGCTGCGGGCCGTGTACCACGACATGCCTCTGATGTGGGCACCAGGCTACCTTGACAGAGCCCTTCGAGTGATGGAGAGGGTGGCCTCCTCCCCCGAAGACCTCAGGCTGTGTGGAGAAGCGGTATGTTCCTGCACCCCCACTCCGTCAGATGGAGTCGTCGCTGTTGCTGTTCGTCTGGGTGGTTCGAATTTGTTCTGTTGGCTTCCCCTCCCCCGCTCTCTATGTTTGTCTAGAGTTGGTATTTATTCTGTGGAAAAGGATGAAAAGAAACCACAATGTTACTGACAAGAAGGCAATGGGAAATAAGATTATTGTTGATTCATTCATATACCTCGTTATGTAAGAGGAAACTGTCCCCTCCTCTGAAATTCAAACTCAGCTCAATAAACACCATCCTCTTCACCATCCCCTACCCCCATCCAAACGGAATTAAAGGTGGCGTAAGAAAGATTAAATAATCTTGGTAGATTTATACCTCATGTAGTCTGGAAAGACTAGATAGCAACTTTCTTTACTATCCTTGGCTCTTAGTATTTGCCTCCCAAGTATAAGTTCCTGAGTTCGGATGCTCAGAACCACCCAAAAAGCCAGGCACAGCAGTGCATGCTACAGTCTCGGTAATGGCAGCCTTGGAAGCATGCTTGAGAGACATGGATCGCTGGAAACTCACTGGCTGACTAGCCTGGACTACTCGGCGAGGTTCCAAGGCAAGAGGCCCCATCTCAAACAAAAAAAGCAGAAAATGCCTAAGAGTGACACCTGAGATTGTCCTCTGAAGTCCACATGCAGACACACGAACACCCAGCCAGTCTTCATCAGCCACACAGAACCTGGATACTGGAGAAGACTCGCCTGTCTTCCTTCCCGTGGACTGTCCTGTGGTACATGTCTGATGCTGTCTGTGTCACATGGTCCTGCCACTTTGCCTGTCTGAAACATTGTCTTCCCACCTGTGCCAAAGTTCTTTTCTCAGTCACCTGAACCCCAACACTGAGTTCCCTAGGCACAGCCAGACTAGGAAACAGCGGCTTTACATAGAACAAAGTTCATTTCTCAGTCACCTGAACCCCGACACTGAGTTCCCTAGGCACAGCCAGACTAGGAAACGGCGGCTTTACATAGAACAAAGTTCATTTCTCAGTCACCTGAACCCCGACACTGAGTTCCCTAGGCACAGCACTAGGCATAGACTAGGAAACGGCGGCTTTACAGCGGCTTTACATCGAACACCATGCCCTCCCGGCCCTGCTGCTCCATCCAGAGAGGCCTTCCCAAAATGAAAGGTGGCCTTGGAGCCACTCATTTGTGTGGACTTGACCTTGAACACACTGAGGCTCACCCGAAGCTTGCATTTCAGTCAGGAGACACTCAGTCCGGTACCTACTGTGACACCTTATGCTGACTGAATCCATCACATTCTTTCCCAGTCGTTATAACCAAGGATACACACTTGGAAATGTCCAAGGATACACACTTGGAAGTGTGTGTGTATGAAGCTGGCTGTACTCAGTGTTGGTAATTAAAAACACAAGTTATGCACAAATCCTTCACCAGGGATAATTCTTTCTAATTTCAGCCAACTTTGCATTCTTTTTATTCTGATTTATAGGAATATATTCAAATGTCAACAAGAATGTGATATATAGCGCATAAAGTATTAGCAGCAATAAAGCCTTGGAGCTTGGTGCTTTGTTCTCCTGTGACATTGATGGAGTTAATCAGCATCCAAGCAGGTGCTTCTGCAGGCTTGGCTGCTATTTCCTTCCCATCTCTAATGACCAAGCCCTGCGTGGGTTAAGGGGGGTGTACCACATGGTGGAGGTGGGGGAGTAAGAGAGCCAGACAAAAAGACCCTCCCTGTTTTCAGTTGCTTACTATTTAAGTCACAGAAACACCCTCGTTAAAATGAATTTCCTGTGTGCATCTCCGGCCGTGGCCAGCAGCTTCTATGGATTAGACTGATCCCTAATTTATACTAGTCTGTGAGCTGAATCTTGCCGGGGGTAGAGGGGTGGTGCCCATAGCCTGTGGCTTCACCATGCATTCAGAATAGCCTTTTGTTGTTTGTGGTCTATGGTGGTCTTTTCTTTCCCTTTGTCCCAATTCCAGACGACTCCAAAGACAGACATGAAAGTGGGGGAGGTCCTTTAGTGCCCATCAAACGTAATTCCTGGGTTCCTACCTGGCTAATTGCAAACAAACTCAATTTACCATTGTGCTAATCACTGGGACAGGTGATTCTTAGCTCATGTCTGTAGCTTTTGTTTTATACTGAGTTCTTCATGCTGTCTGAGAGGGCATGGCTGATGTACAGAGCTGTTGTGTTTCCTTCTTTTTTCCTTGTTTGCAGCACTGGGAATTGAACCCAGCACCTCCTGCATGTTCAGGCATTCCAGGAACCCCTGCTGTTCCCACAATGGTATCCCCAGTCTTGGGGGTCCCCCCTTTCCCTTTCTTTGTCTCTGACCTTCACAAAGTCCAAACAGATGATGTCACTCTGACCCTCTTTGTGTCCCTCAGCTCAGTGTGCTGGACGGAGTCCTGACGGTGCTGACATCTCCAGCTGACCAGGCCTCAGAGGAGCCACAGCCCCAGGACGCTGAAGGCAGCTTGGGCTCAGCAAACCTGGTGGAGCAGCTAGACATCGAGGAACCAGAACATTCCAAGCTTCCCCGATACCTGGAGCGATTTAAGGTGATTCAGAGCAGCAATTGAGCCTCACCCAGCCTTACATAAGCACGCTTCTCTCTGGTGATGGACAGGCAGGCTTTTCCTGCACCAGTCACACACAAAGGCATTAAAAATGCACAGCAAGAATTGCATGTGTATTGCTTCCCAGAGGCTGTGGCCTTAAGAGAAACAGGTGGAATTTTTCTGAGTAGCACTGAGCTAATCAGTCACAGTGTTGTTCACTAAGGCAGCATGGCATCCCCAGTGATCCCTCATATGTGCCTGATGGGTGGATGATGCCTTGCCTCCTCTTAACAAGGGCCTGACTTCCACTCAGGGTGGAGTGTCTGGTCCTTTCTCTACGCTACACCAAATATGGTCGATCGGAAACCCAGTTAGACATCAGTCACATTTTCAGCATGCAGAGATAAGATTCAGGCATCTTTTATGGCTGGTGGCTGGCAGCTTTGTGCTATTCAGGGGGGTGTTAGAGATACTGCCTGACACTTCGTGACCTGTAAACAGGTTTCCAAAACAGCACTGAGCACTCAGGCTGGCTTTGAACTGTGTCCTAAGATCCTCTGCCGTCAGTGTCAGGGAAGAAGATCCATGGTCCTCCTCCATGCCTCTTTCTTGTCCATTTAATACAAAGAGAAAGAATTCCTTTCTAATTATTAAGTCATTATAATTATAATTATAATTATGAGTGTAAAAATGCCTCCTCCATGCCAGCTGGTCCACTGGGCCTCTGCACAGTGGGTAGGGAGAAATGTTGCTGGATTCTTACCCATAAGTCTGTGTCTTCTGAACCAGCAATGGGAAGCCTCCCTTATCATAGTGGGATCCCATTATATTTCAGGCAGTTGTTTCTCCGGGGACTTCTGTAAGCGAGGTCATCGCCCAGCTTCTCTCTGTAATTTGAAACTGAGAATAAAAAAATTAACGTTCCTATCATACCCCAAGAACAAAGCAAAGTGGAGAATTTATACACAGTCCTTCCTCCTAACTTTGCCTGTCAGTGTACAAAGCTTAGAGAAAATCCTCCTTCACCCTGCAGATTCTCATTCACCACGTTCTTCAACAGTTCCGAGTTTTGTCGTCCGAGGATGGAGACCTGTGCCTTCATTAACCTCTCAGCCGTCATACTTCCACAGGACGCTTTTTGAAAATTCCGAACAGAACAGAAACATATTTGTAGCCTGCTGGCTGTGACCTTAGCCGTGATAGGCCCTACTGGGCTCCCTTATTCTCACCCAACGCCTGGGTGGGGGAGCCTCGGCTTAACACGACCCAGCACTGAGCCTGTCCGGGGCTGGAGTTGTCCGGGGCTACTCCCTCACAGTTGAGATTTTATTCTGGTGTCCTTGGCTATCTCCTTGGCTTCAGACTACCTGGAAAATGATGTCAGAAAGAAACCATTTTCAGTTTGTATTTCCTTTTCTTCCTGTTAGCTGATTTTCATTAGTCTGAGGTAATCCGTTTGGGGCTCAGTTCTCTGTAATTAGACCTGTCGGCTCCTTGGAGCTCACCGGCCTTCCTCCTCCCACCGTTCTTGCTGGCCAGGCCTTATCCTGTCCTCTACGTCCCCTCGGGATGGGAATGTGGATGGACATCTGCCGCTAAGCTGCAGCTGAGGCCTAAAAGCCACTTTCTGGTGATGGATATCTTGAAGCACTTAAGTAGATTAATGCTTTTAGTACTTCTTCGGGAATACCAGGCTGACCCAACCAGGCTGCCACCTCAGATGGAGCTGTAAGCAGGCAGGAGGTAAGGGCCAAGCTGCAGGGGAGTGCAGCAGGTGGAGGCCAGCCGCGTGCCCGCACTCAGAAAGCTGGTTAGCATTAGTGAGCAATCCCTGAAATGAGTTCCAGCTGTTGGAAGAATCCCAGGGTAGGGACTCCACTGAAGTCAGTTAAATGAAAAGACAGGGATGAGCTGGCTCTGCTTTCAGAAGTCTCCGCCATCTTGTTTGCATCCTAGAATCCTGTTCCTCGGAGCTCACTGCTTGCTTAGGAGCAGGCCCGCGTGGACATGTGTGTCACACCCCTGCTGTCCTTGTGGCTTAAATAAGAGCTGAAAAGGACGCAGGAGTAGGGCGGTGGGTTTGCACTCTGTGAGTCAAGGTGGTGTGGTTCTCTGAGTAACTGCCTGCCGAGCTGGAGAAAGTAGCTCCAGGCAGCTGCACCTGGAGGAGAGCCTGGGCGCTTCCTGCAAAGCATCCTTTCCTGCGAGCAGATTGTGTGGCTGGGTAGCAGAGGACTTAATTGCTTCTCATTTCCTTTTTCTCCCACCTGCTCCCTTATCTTAATTTTTTTTCCCTTTGTTTCCAACAGGCCTCTCAGTCTAAACTGCAGGAGTTGGGCAGGATTGAGGGAGAAAGCCTTTTGACGCTGACCACCCAGCTTGTCAAAGACAAACTCCCCGCATGTGAGGCCGAGGACCTGGCTGCTTATGAGCAGAAATTGCGCGAGTGGCACCTGGAGCGGATGCAGTTGATCCAGAGGGAACAGGAGCAGAGGGAGAGAGCGAAGCAGGAATACCAGGCCCTGAGTGCAGCCAAGACTGCAGCCTAGAGAGCCCTGCTGGAGGACTGTGTGGGCCAGCCCAGTGTCCGGCACAGACAGATGGACTCAGCCTGCGCTGGCCAGCTTCTCCTTTTCTCTCAGCAAGCCATGCATAGCCCGAAAGCCACCGTGTGCTGCATGTCAAGACACTGCCCATCCAGATGTCAAGGGCCCAGGAACTAAGAAAGTGGCAAATGATTGGCCAAAGCCTCCACCTAAAATCTCTTACGGGCTTCCGGGGCTCACAGCGGAGTCCTGGGCACAGAGTGTGGAACGTTCTCAGTACCTGGTGAGGGTGATGGAAGAAGCTGCAGCTGAGGGATCGGGTCTGCAGCACAGAGTTTGACCGGTTTCTGGCCCTTGCCCAGGCACGTGGGGCCACAGGCTGCATGTCCTGAGACCTTGTGCCCCATAGTCCCGACCAGTGCAGATACCCTGGTGATTAGGCCTTGGGTGCTCCCACATTCCCGGTACCCCTTTCCCACCACACCACGCCCTCCTCTTTCCCCTCTGGGAGAAGTCCAGCACAGGTCTCCAGACCACAGCCTCACTAGATTTCTGATTGTGGGAACCCACGGTGACATTTAGAGATGTGGGGGCTTTTTGAGAGAAACTCTGCCCTGGATGTGAGGTCCTTGTAGCCTGACTGGAGTAACTTTTCCCACACATTGTCAGAGACGTAAAATGAACCTTTGGTACACGCGTGTGCACACATGTACACACAGACGACTTTAGAGCAAGCCTTCTGTTAAAGGAGAAAATGAGAAGGGATGGAACTTGAAGTGCGGAGGGGACAGAAGTCAGTGCAGACGGTCAGAAGGTGGGACCTAATTTTCCTGGAAGCCTCTCGGGGAGAGGTTCGGGGACTCGGCCTGCTGTGTGATGTGGCCTTTCAGGGCAGTGGTGCATCTTTATTCAAGGCTGTATTCTTCTATCAAAACCTGGAGAAATAAAGACGCCAAATCCTCTCAGCCCATTTATCTCTGGTGAAAAGGGGGGAGAGGGTCCTGCCCTCTTCTTACTGTTTTGAACAGCACATTTTAGGCCTCTTCCATCCGACTATGACAAGTGTAATCATGACAGTCGTCACTCACAGTCATCAGAGACTTGCGGTGTGCCAGCATCTTGAGCCCTGGGAGGTAGCACCATTATCCCCATGCTGTAAGGAAGGAGATAAAGCGAAGTTCAGCTGCTGCTGCCCCAACCCACACTGCCCTCCATGTCTAACCTCAGCCAGGGTCCTCCCAGCTGGTAGCACTGACTCATCACCAAAAGTCAGGGCTGGCATCCTGGTTTATCAAAGGCAGAGTTTTCTTGGCCATTCCTTTATAGGTCAGGATAAGTCCAGTGGCAACCAAGGAATGACCATTGCTGTTGAAGCATCTTGTTCATTCTTTGGCTCCTAATTTTCCCTCCATTCTTCTTTCCCCAATGCCCCTATTGCGATTCCAATCCTCCCTCAAAGAGACATTCCTGTCCCTGAGTCACTGCCCCGGCGGGAGCTTGCGAATTCCCCCTCAGTGCCCTGTGACTGTCCTAGGAGCTCCTGACATTCCAGTCCACCATCCCTTCCCACACACCTGTCTCCTGAATTGTGATGCCCTCTCTTCCTTGACAAGTGAGGCTTCTAGCTATAGCTGCCCTCTGCCCGTCCATTGACGTCTTCTGTGCAGTGGACAACCTTGATAACCTAGCCCAGCACAGACTTTGCTCCTTGTTCAATCTGGGAGAGCTGGGGCAAACTACCCAAGGTCTTAGGTTTGAGGTCCCTTTCTCTGCTCTTATTTCATACATGACCCCTGTAGCTGAATGATGCCCTTTGGGGAACCTTGAACCACTGCAGAAAATAAGTACAAGTAAATGGCTGGTGAGGAGGAACAAGGAATTAGAACTGGGTGTAAGGAGCATTTTTAGAAGCCCGTGTCATTTGGGTCATTGAGTGGGTACAGTCAGAGGTTCAGGTGGAGGCAGGTTTCCTGCCTGTGTACAACAAAGGATGTAGAAACGGGCTTGGCAGAGAAGCAACCCACGAGGGCTATCACCATCTGCCTCTGTTGCCTAGAGATGCTTGAGGCCCTCATAACCCATGCCAGTGAACTGAGGTTAGGACTGTCTCCTCCTGTGAGCTCTGAGGCACCACTTAAGGGCCCTCTCCCTGCTCCATTCTGATGACCTTGAGTGGCATGCTTCCTCTGCCTGTATGGAATCTGACCCTCTGCCGGCTCTCCTGGCCTCCCGTGACATAGACATCACTGTGGCAGGCCCATTTCCCTGAGACTCAATCTGTAGCTCCTGACATACCAAAGTGAGTCAGGTTTCGGCTTTGCTCTGTGTCGGTCTTCCTTGTCTCTGGGCTCTTCTAATATGGTAGGTAAGACAGTCTTGCTGTGTAGCCCAGGCTAGCCTCACACTCGAGCTTATCCATCCTCTGCCTCCTAAATACTGAGATGGCAGGTGTGTGCCCCAGAGAAGTGGGCACCATTTGGAATCAAATGGAGCCAGTGAAGAGAAGAGAATATTCATTTTGAGTGCTTCCTTGCCTGGCTTCCCACTGCCATGGAATTGAAGAGATTGAACCCAGAGCCCACCCTCATCCCTCTAGGCTTTATTGAACCATCCTCAGGGCACATTTGCAGTCCCCCTTTGCCTGTCAGCTCCTGTCCAGTTTGTGAATTCTGGATGAATTCTCTGAACTCACCAGTGAGAGTGCCACCAGACCTTAAACTCCATGAAGACAGGAGCTCTTCCCTTCTAAAGTACTGTATCCGGAGAACAGTAATCACCGTGACTGAGTAGACTTTCCTCTAAGGTTGGAAATCTGAAGACTGAGTTGTATTTCTCTCCCAAGAGAACTACTGACATGCCGGGCGGTGGTGGCACACGCAGGTGAATCTTTGTGAGTTCGAGTCCAGCCTGGTCTACAAAGTGAGATCCAGGACAGGCTCCAAAGCTACACAGAGAAACCCTGTCTCAA